TTGGCATTAATGTAAGATTTATAAGCTTAGTAGGGCTTCCGAGATGAGTTGTCTCAGTCATCACAGACCTGTTGTTGTAAAAATGAAGGGGTCCTTTTCAAAAAGGAATACAAATTATTTTAGGAAAGCTGCCATGTTACCTCTTATCTTGGGAAATAACACTTTGATAGTGCTGTTTTGCAATCCAAAAGGGCATTTTTCGGTAAAATTAGGACATTTATCCAGACTTAAAACTCTGCCATATGATACGTTTTACCAGGGATTATACCCGAGTTTATGACAGGCCTAATATGACTACAAGAACATGACTAGCATGTCTCTTTAACAAAACCTTTTTTCTGTGTGGAGTCTAATATAAAGTATAATACAGTAAACACGTTGCATCGAGTGTCCAGTTCCCATAAATAGGTAACAAACAAACATGAAAAGAAAGACATTTTGTGAAGTATGTAATCATCGATATGCAGAAAATGACTGTCACCTTTTGGTTATTTTGAGGCCTCTGCAGATCTGCGTCAGATCAGAAGGCAATTGTGATATGACGTCATGTCAAAGATGACGCCATTTAGTACATATATACGGTCCAGATTTAATCAGCAGTGTTAAGCCCGCTACTGTCGTCTACAAAAGAGACACATGGATGTGCGGTTTGGGGGAGAGTTTGACATTGCCAGAGTTTATTAGAATTATATAATGCCACTTACTGCGGAAGACAGTGCTTGCCAAACAGATATTTAAAGTCCCCTGCTGTATAATAAGTAAGGGAATAAAACATCGTTTGACTCCGTCAGTATTGATATACACGTTTGTATTTATACTTATTCAGTGACAGAAGAAAATTGTCACTGTCAGTGCCCACACGGTACATATACAAATATACAAGACGGAAAAAGTACCATATTTATAATATAGTCTGATTTTAGAACCAAACAATGTCGTTACCAAACGTACATTTACCATTTCGTGAGCGGGTAAAATTTGACTTTTTTCAAAGGTGACTTTTTACTTTTCCGCTCAGGTCAACATCTAAGTGAAAAAGTAAAAAAACAATGGATTTCTACTCAGACACGATTTTAGACGGTACGACATTTCTCAGAATCGTGAGTTTAATCTTCCTCCATAATTTGGTCAAGGATTCAGTTATATACTACAGTAGTGTTGAATGATCATTGCCTCCAGATCTGTGTAGCAAGGTTCAACATTCGCAGAACTTCTGCAAACGATTATCGTGTTACACATAGCACTGCCAAAGATGCTTGCACAAATGTGTTCTTGATAACTGTATTCTGCCAGCTCGAATTCAACACAATGTGCTCCGGCTCAATATACAAACTCAACAACATTATTTAAAATACTGATTTTAAATATTTTTTAATCATAAACCCATTCATCAAAATGGCAATTGCTAAACATATTGTTAATATTTAGACCATTGTGGTACTACACCTTGAACTATATCAGGAAATCTGTACATTACTATAATGGATGTCAGGTTGCTACTGATATGATGCACTAGTATATATCACAGGTGGCTACGTGGGTTAGATCGCTGATTAGGTGCCTGACTGATAGTGTGGTTTTGAATCTCGGATGAGACTCAACCAAGCAAATGTATTAATATCTGTTCTTCACTGAGAAAGTGTAATCCTGAATACAACATATGCTACAAGTATCACAGAATAGTTTAATTATAAAGCCAAAAGCGAAAATGACTACATACTTCACACAAAAGCAACGCCAAAAGTGAATAAACACAATCATCTAGCGTGTCGTCAGGTACAGTAGCTTAGAAAAGCAAAATATCAGTAACAGGTGTTTTATGATAGCAGTATTCAAAACATATATCGTACTGACACATGATTCAGGAAGTTTGCAAAAACAAACCTTGATTATGTAAGCCAAGCTCAATTTTTTCAATTAGCATATGCTAAAGAACCTCATTTGGAGTTATTGTAGGATTGTTGTTAATGGAACATTTCAAATGATGCGAGAAAAGCAAATGTCAGATGTTTCAGTATAAACTTTTGATGGAAATATATTCATTGATATAGGGTCACGATTGAGGTACTTTCAATTAATAAAAACATATCATCACTGAGCAGTAATTACACTCGTGTAGCATTTCAAACCAGTAAGGCATGTGCCCTTTACACAGCCTTACACATATTCTGACACTTTGCACAGTTAGTGCGATACTTGGATACATACTGACACAACGTCCACTGACGAGTGATGGACACCAAGATAAAAGGACAGAGAAAATCCAGAGAAAATTATTGACATACATACAGAAACACACATAGTGAGCCAGCGTCATGGAGACACGCATATACCTCTTCCTCTCTTTCTCTTAAAAAATACCAATTTGAATTTTGAATTTTCTTTATATTATATATAATCTGATCCAAGGTTATCATTCCAATAACGAATTGGAAATATAGTGGCCTTAATGAATTTCAAAATACAACATATCTCCGTAAAGTAATAGAAACATAAAGAAAATTAACCAGTCTGAATTATCTGCCGAGACACACTCATTGTCTTCATCAAAATACTCAAAGTTGTTAATCCTATAGTTATTGCAACATGGTTAGTTATGTGTTAATATTGTATTTCCAAATAACTGGATTTGAGACTTTAGCTGATGAGGATATCTGGAACATAATTTTCCGGTTGTGAATGTAGACTGTATTAAATAACACAATGTGAACGTTATGACAGAACAGTGTTTCAGCCTGTTACGTACTTGTTGCACGTATAACACATAGGTAGCAATATACAAATAAACAAGATGTACATTCAAAACACCCTTCATATGCGTTCATCATAAATTACTGGCTCATAATATGTGTGATTATTGTCCACTCTAGCCTATGAATCCACATTATGCTGATCATTAATCATTGTTTTCTTTACAAAGTGAACTGTACCACACATGCAAACCACTGTTTATGTATTAATGTCAGTGTAGCAGAAATAACTTTTCCTGGATAATATATGCTGTAAAAGGATTTATCGAGTGAATAGTTTTCAAATATGGACCTTTTCTATTTCAATTTGTTTTTAACTCGCAGACGTTTCAACTAGTTTAATATTAAAATTAATTAAATTAGCATAAAGATCGTTTGATATTTATCGTCGGTGAATGATTTCTAACAAGCACGTTTAACGAATTTCATACATTTTGTTACCACCTATTTTTTATGGACGCGCTGCTAATGACGTGCATATCGAGCATTGATAATGTCCCCGGTCTGGAAATAAATAAGGCCCCGAAATTGATATTATCTGCTTTGCCTCAGCCATTTGTTTTCCGCAGACAAAACATGACTATACAAACATCTTAAAACGGTGCAGTAAAATTCATATTTTGCTTTTGGCTTTAAGTATTAGGGCTTTATACTAATACCAAAATCCTATCTCTGGTTCCCTGTGGGCAGAACGTATGCAAACACTGTTGGAGGAACACACTTTGCCCTATGGAAAGGCATTCGGTCTGATGTGCTAAAAATCACCCTATCAATGTCAACTTTGAAAATCTGATTAAAGAAGCAAAATCGAGTCTATCACGCAGTGACACTACGGTAGACACTACCCTGTTTGCTTTAGGTATATCATTGAACAAGTTTCGTGCCATCCGTATGAAGTGAGTCGGGTAAAGCAACCGTGGACAAACACAGGGAGCACCTTGTGCCTACTACACTCAAAGAAGAAAGGTCTTTCTTGGTTTCTTGTCCCTCTCCAGTTTCAAGCTAAAGGTAGGCTTTTTGTTTACATTAAATTGACTTACTTTGTTGTCGATATATAAGACATTGTTCTTCGGTTCGTTTTCGCTCCCCAGCATGGGGCATGTTGTTATCCTTGTGCTTTAATACTTCCCTACTACTTTATACCATATTACAACATCGCAAGCTTTTCCTTCGAACATGTTTGAAAATATATTCACCTTGCTCTAATATTGCAAATATCATCAACGGTTTTGAAAGATTGAGTTGATAAACAAATATTGCAAACACCATGTTGCCATTGCTGTTTGTCGCGTATTTTGGGAACCTATATATGAAAAGAGATAAATTGGAAAATTTAACAGACAGTTGATCTGATGCCTATATGTGAGATATTTACTGGTAGTGAAAGTGGTCATGAGTATAAGTATACGGGACATTGCTAATGAGGTATGTATATTTGATAAAGGAAATAAATTGATTTTAAACAAATAAAACGTTTCATATCGTTTTGAGGTTATTTTATGTGAAATGGGAATCTCTCCAAACATATATCAACTATATCAACTGCTTTGTACACAACTGTCAATGCATTGACTCAATTAAAACTAAATAATTTAGCAGTTGAGCTAAAAAAACTTGAACACACTGAGAGACTTGCTCGCTGAAAAGTGTCTAACAATAAATTCGTAGCAGGAAATATCAACATATCTATGTTTTCAATATTCACTTCAGAAACTAATAAAGCTGATAAAAACAATAGGGTGCAATTATCACAATTGCATTTTTAAAAACAACAAATTGTGTATGAAATAAGAAATTGAAGTTGAAAACAGTTTTGTCTTTGAACCAAAAATGATAGAACTACGTCGATGTGGATTAATAATTAAAGCTTATAATATTTAGTCTAACTTATCATTTTATCACCATATTTGTCTTCACGTTGGTCTCTTGGACTGTGTCCACTCGAAGAGTAATCACTGCCAACTGCTAAATGTCCAGCCCGGTGGTCGGCAAGGACCTGTCATATTACCACGGCTATTATCACCTAACACACTGAGATCCCCGTTTGTGAAGTAATTGTGTCTAGTTATCTGGGTGGGGAAAGCTTTTGACGAATTCCAATACAAGTGACATGATTCTCCATACACACCGACTAAACAGCTAAGTCCCTGCCTCCAAAACGCCTGTGCTTTATCCGTGCGCTTCAAGCATGCCATCCATTGTTGCAGAGAGCCAATCGCGAGAGGGCTGGCTTGTCAACGCAGGAGTATGTAATCATACAGTTTGACTTGTCGCCACCAGACGAGGCCAAGTGAGAGAAGCGCCAAATGGTGCTTGTTCGTCTCGCGCTCCTACTGCTCTGTGATTGGCTGGCATAGAGCTCGGGTCAAAGTGGGATTTATCTGTTCTGCGACAACTTCAACACGGAGTAGACTACGCCAAGTGATAGCACAGGAGAGTGGATTAAGATGAATCGACCCTCGGGAACTTCCAGTAAGTGTTTGGTGTATATATGTAGATAACAAGTCTTTTCTTAACACGCGTTAAACAGACACTCGACGAGGATCACTTCCGTCTTTGTAACATTGTGTAATTGTAGCGATTTGTTACTACCGATAACAATGTTTATTTTCACCCGTAAGTATCCAAAGCAATAACGTTCCCAAAACATAAAATATGGACTCTTAATGAAGGTTTAAGATATTCATTTATGTACAAAGATATTTTTTGTGTCTTGAATCAAAGTATTACCTTTTATTGTAATATTGTTGTTAAAAATTAATGTTGATATTTTTACTCGTTTATGATGTTTATATATCATATATGGTATATATATGTTCACATGGAAAATGTGTTACATTCTTCTATTACTAATACTACTTTTAATTATATATTATAACTTAGTACAGGTATAAATTCAAAAAGCACGATAAATACATGTAGTTGACACTTGAATAGAATATCATATGAAATTACGACATAATTAAATTCACCAGCCCACCATAAAGAGTGTTAGCATGTTCAAGTTAATATCTAGGAGGATACTACGTTGTGTGTATAAGTGATTAAGTTCTGAAGGCAACACATTATGTCTCAAGTTATGTATTCCAGTCTGTGTTTACGATATTGACTGTTGAAGATTCCTAGGTCGATGACAAGTACATGACACAACCCTTATCTCAACCTTGTCAGCTTATTTATGCTACAGAACAAATCTCGTAGCTGTAGTCTTTAAAATGACTTCTGAATAATATATAGAAGCAATTATTGACTCGCGGTTATTTGGTAAATGCACGAAGAGCAAATTTCCGTTGATGTATAGGACGAGCTGACTTGTAACCGGGTGTCTCTGGGTGGGACGTGGACTTGAAGACGCTACACTGGTGAAAAGACGTGATAAATTAAGGGACTATCCCACACAGTGATACTTGTACTATAGCAATCCTTAAGTGTTTTTAATCACGATATTGTAGGGGTAAATTAAAGTGTGATAAATTCCACGTCACTAGCCTTCACGCAGACGCTGAGAATGAGATCTGGGAATAATGTTACATTATGTATGTATGTTTAAATATCATGTACCTTGTAGACCTTTCTAAAATTGAATTTTAGAAATGTATGTGGGGGTAGTTTGAATACAAGTGCCAAGTGCTGGTGATTGTTAGGTTTTGAATGCCAGCATAAATTGTATCTTATTCCAATCCAGTGTCTATGAGCATGTTATTTTTTAATACATTCAAACAGCTTAAGGAACATTTACCTATAGAGTTTAATAACAATGTCATATATAGGAAGCTTTGTATTTTATTAAGTTTAGATAAAATTATCACCTTTGGTTACTATGATACTGTTGTGTAACTGTTATCTACAGCCACTCAAACCTTCATTCAATAAAATATTTTTTTACTGACAAAGGTGTCACCAAGTTTGATCCCGAACCCTCTACGTTTTTAACATAAAGCCTGGTAAACCAATGAGTGATTCAATTGATTTTTTTACATGCCTTAATCTTTTTTTATAAACAATTCAGCATAATCATTACCAAAATGAACAGGTAAAATAATCAACAGCAGGTAATAACATTAACATATTGGATGGATGGAAACACTAAGAAAACATGATAAAAATCAAAACACTACATATATTAATAACTGTTTTTGATATTCCATGAATACAAATGTGTTTCCAGAATGTTGGAAACATGTTCACTGCACAATAGATAGTTACAGTTCGATTATGACAGGACATCCTGTAATGCGTTTGTGAAAAAAAATCAATTTGGTTTGAAAACAAAACTAAAACAGTCACACCATATCATTAATGATCACATCACAAAGTTTAATTTATACAATGTACTGTTGTCGTCATGTTTTGTTTTTCACTTGCTCTGTTCCAGGAGATATAAAAAATACATTTATCGGAGATGCGATTTACTATATAATTCCCAAAGAACAGGAAATACCATGCCCTCCAAGTTAATCGTGTTTAGCCTTGTAGGTGATCCTTGTAAAACGGAGTGACCGACAATAAAGTCCTCTGGTTTAATCTGGACGGGCACTTGGGTCCAAATCCTTCACTACAAGTGTTCCAAAGCTTTTGATACAAGTGCCAAATGATGTGGTATCATCTTCAGCGCCGTGGTCAGACGGTCTCTATCAGAAGCTGGCTTGATCTCCCTGTCAAATAGACCCTAACTTTACTTGTTCGAGTTCGCTCTCCTTATCCTTCCAATGTTTGAATGTTCTTTACGAGAAAAACATTGTTCATCCCTAATAGGCCCAGAATGCCAGAGAGAAAGCATCTTCCCTACACTTGTCGCGGTATGGGATACGGATTCTGCAAACTGACTCGAGATATGACAAGGATAAACACATTCGAAGGCGCTGGGCACTGCGTCTTATACTTAAGCATACAGTTGACGTTGTAGCAGGTTCGCGGCAGAGGCTGCAGGCGGACCTTAAACCCTGGACGGATTTTCTAGCATTAAGCTAAGCATACCAAGCAAACATCAAGTCAGATTCGGACAGTGGATCAAATTGAAATTCATGGCAATTTTTTCAAGTATAAGCATTTTGAATATGCAATATATCTTTCAGCAAACTAGGAAAATTGTGTCCTCAGCTAAATAATCAAGATTAAATCAGGGCCTATTTAGTGTGTGTCATATTGTCGTACTTGAAACATTGTGTGAAACAAACCAATTTTCAGTAAGTACTATTTTAACGCCAACTTGATTTTGCTACTATGTATTTCAGCACATGTTTGTTTTCTAAAGCATACCATCCACCACGTGTGAAAATGGCTTAAGTTTTGTTATTAAATTTCTTACTCAAATATGCAAATCTATAGAAAATTACTTCTTTCACAATAAATGCATTCTTCGTTATATCAACAGTACATCATAACGTATTTATTATAATTATCGAACATAATACCCGTTATGATTTCTATCATGTAAACAAAAAATACAGCATAACGTATGTCAGACACATTATCATATTAACTAATCAATTACGTACAGGTTTTTTTCAGAAATATTCAATTTATTCCTTGAAATACATAAACCAGTGAAATATGCATGATCTTGATGTTTTTATACCTGCGTGTTATCTTGTTGCTTTATTTCAGAGCTGTGATTAATTGTTCGCCCAGTTACAATATGACTAAATGGTGTGAGCTGTATAGGCATAAAAACGAAATGCCCGTATCAGGTAAATGTATAGGAAATCAGGGTAGCTGGTAGATTACGAGATTATCCCTGCACTTGAGCACGCTATTGATTGTTAAGTGTCACCGTGTTGCTGGGACTTACTTAATCATTTCAACATTCATCTAATCTCGTAATCAAGTCTCGCCGCCTTACGAATACACTCACTCAATTGATTCCATTGCGAGTTAATTTCACGGGACTCCTCACTCGGCGAAACTTTTAATGACACGAGTTTATTGTATGAATAAAAGTTTATAAGGCAATGCTTTGACATACCGCGTTACTTCCTTACTACGGGGTAGCGTCACGTGTTCTTTAGATTAGCGCGGATTATCCGATAAAGGATGAGGTATTACCGAAGGATATTGCACATACACGCGTGTGGTATTGCTAGCTATATTGCCCGATACTATCTACGTGACGACTGGTTTCATAAAACTCTGTCCAAACCTCCTCATTAAAAAGTTAATAAAATATTTTTATGGAAAGCAGTATACAGCGGATATTAGAAGCATCGTTATGTATCGTGGCTACCACGGGGTGTCTTGTCTATGTACAGCAAATGAGCCGCTGAATCATTCTTAAAGTATTCAACTCACATAAACACATCGTTTATAAAAATGTTATCAGTGTAACAAAGGTTTTTCTCCAAGGTTAGTAAAAAGATTCTGAATTTTATAGTTTCAGTACGTTCACATTAATGTAATACTATTATAGTGTATGCTTCAGATAACAATTATTAATTGGCATGAACATATTTCGTTGACACTTACACACTTCATTTGCGTATCTGTTGTAGAATGATGATAAATATATAGATATACAACTTCGTTATTCTGTGAAAGGCGACGTTTCGGCCTAGATTCTAATGTCGTTGTCACGCTTGTTGTGATTCATCTCTATCTATTGTTCTTTAGACACGGGATAAAATGTTGTTTTATCATTTCATTAACAATTTCAATGAAGTACATTGATGAAGAAAATATTCATTATTACCAGCTAATCAGAAATTTCAAACAGTCATTTTATAGAGATTATGTGTTATTTCAGTTATTACAAAGCCATAATAATATATCGCTGATATTAGACATGCCAGAACGCACTCTGATGATTTTGGCCATGTCTATCACACGATTAAACAAGATAGACCACAAAATTCTATACTTTAGAATGAACACAGAAACATGCCCCAGCTGCACTTTTCCTCGGTTTTTACATCACCACATTACAACAACTACATTCATGTTGTTTTTTGAATGAACATCACCTTCAGTTTTTAAATTATTGCACATGTACAATCCGTCCATAATAATTATTTTTGTTCAATCGGCTGAAAACTGGTCCGTTTTGAACATTTTTCGATAGATATACAGAAGCTCAAGCATGAATATATTTTTGTATTGGTTCTAAGCTCTACACGACATCTCTCTCTCTGGAATCAGATAATGAGTGCCTTCTAGCGCGTTATTGTGAGTGCACTGTTTATATTTGCTGTAATTTCTAAACTCTGGACGCTCGCTACTCTGTTCTAATCGTTTTCACTGTACAACTTTCCACTTTCGTTTACCAATATAACAAACTGTTCAATTATCCCCATAACAAGATGACGGAGCATGTAGGGACATAATGGCTATAATATTGACATTCCTAGCTAAATGAAACGAAGTCGGAACCCGTGTTTGCAGTATTCATTTGCCTGGCTAAAACTTTCATTATAATCTTCATCATACTCCCTTTATGACTAAGTCATTCTGCTTTTCCCATGTACTGTTGTAACAAAGGGAGATGGGGGATACTGTTCTGGAAAGTCGGACAATAAATGATTCCTCTACAATAATCATTTGTGTGTTTAAGATATCAATGGATGCAGTACTATCTCATATCTGCCAATCTTCGGCATTTTTTTCCATCAGGGAAGACAAGTCGGAGAGATAATTGCTACCGTTGGGTGTGAATGAGCTCGGTGTGTTTGTCTGAATATTGATTTTTAATTGGAAGCCTGTTGACTTGGATGCGACAAGTTAACATTCGAATCTGCCTGATGGTTTGCAAAGAACGGGTTTCTTTGATTTAGTTGTTTGTACATTAGCGTACCATGCGGCGAGCACAATGCGCCTTTTATTACGAATCGGATGCTCACGACTCTCTCCGCGATTGTTCTAGACAGTCAATATGCAGACACTGTTGGGAAATCAAGCTTGTTGTTTCTGAGGTATCGATTTGGAACATTCATCTGGAGTCCACCGGCAAACACTGATGAAAAGTCGGGACAGGGGAACACATACGCATACCTGTGTTGTCAGATGGGAGGAAGATTTCTATCTGATCATTTGTCAACACCTGTAGGGCTCCTGGAATCCTCTTAAGTTTATACCCTGCTTAGGCTCTCGCTTCCACAGTCCTCACTGCACAGCGGTATACCAGCTTCTCGTATCATTTCGACATAATTTGGAAAATCTGGTGGTTATTAGATAACTGGTCATTACGCTGCGGTCATTATCTAACCACGAGGCTGGTGTAACAGTGGACATCTCATACTGACCACCTATTGTCTGGCCACAAGGCTGACTGTTTAGGGTTGAAATGCGACCACGAGAAGGTAACGCAACGTTTCACGCTTTGGTAAACACCTTACGCTTTCTTTGCTTGTCAACATAAGTGAGAGCTTCATTACTCTGTTATGTGACGCCATGGCTTCTATGGGAGATACGCGGTTTCGTAATCTTCACTTCACTTTCACTGAACTGTTCCAAATTGCTGGTCGCTTTTTGTTACTCGTATTGAGCAAGCAGTGGGAAAATCCGCCTCTCTCTCACTGACCGTGGGGAGACAGACAGTACATCTCACCTGGGGGCACTAATCATGGAACGCTACTCTCATACCCGTAATTACATATCTGCTGCCTGTAGAGACTTACCTGTGTCGCTATTGGAAAGCAACAGGCTGTAAAAACAACTACCTTTCCAAGGCTACAAGACTCCAAGTATATATCAAGCCTAATTATATTCATGTAAAAATGACAACAGTTTAACTTGCATTCGACCTTTCATGATATACATCAAACTTGTATGACAATGAAAAAATGTTATTACTGAAAAAATCACTTGGGAATATTTATAAGTTTATATCAATCATGATGATGACATGTGTTTTGTTTCGATTCAGGTCGTATTCTTGTGGACATACCTTGTAAGGTCTGTCAAGATCACTCGTCAGGAAAGCACTACGGAATCTATGCTTGTGATGGGTAAGGATGCATTGATATTCAAAAAGTATATGTCAAACTTCCTTTTATTTCTGTTTGTTTATTATTAGACAAACATTTATTTATCTATTTATTCATTCATTTTATAGTCATTATTTATTTATTTATTTATTTATTTATTTATTTATTTATTTATTTATTTATTTATTTATTTATTCATTCATTATATATTTTATAATGCATAGATACTCGGAATTTTATCGCTTTTATAAACTCATGGTGATATATTTGATATCAAAAGACACTCGGGTGAGATTCTTTATATATCTAACTTATGACAAAATCATTGATTGAAGTTACAGGTAGTGCTCAAATGTTTCTCCTTTAAAGCACCTCTAAGTTGAAGGCGAATATTACATGACATCAAACAGCGAGTCACAATGCAGATTTGTCTATTAATCCAATGCACTGTCAGTCCAATAATATTTCATTGCGGCCGTAATAATGAGGCTGTATATCAAATGGTTCCATATGTTGTACTTAGTTATATTAGTAGTACAAAGTGCAACATTGGATCTATTGGCTGGCTTCCACGTAAACTACCATTGCAGTCAGGCCCCGTACCAGCTTGCACAGGTATCAGTGTTTAGTTGAATTAAAATAACACAGCCTGGTTAATATACCACTACAGGACTTCGATATTGTTAGCGAGCTGACATTGTCTGTTGATCTCAGCTCTTAATTATTGCTCTATAGGAGGATGACAACAACATCTGATTATATTTTATATGCAAGGATAAATCATAGCTGTCTAAGGTTATTTTAATTCATTTTCCCCCTTGAAACAGAATACCTAAAGCGTACCTAAAATAATTTTCAAAGTTTGATTTATGGAAAATAATTTTGTTCTCATTAACTAATCGCCTTTGTTGATATTGAAATTCTACCCTTTTCCCCATTTGTGATTATCTTTCAACGTATTTGCTTTGGACAAATATTGGCATAAATCATGACCTTTTTGTTTGTGTTAATGGTATTAGCTTTCAAGTTTAATCGTTGGTACAAAGTACAAGTGAAACCTACACAGATCACATTGAAATAGTACAACAACGCCACCCGTTAAAAATGAAGATTATGAACTGTTTCTGAGATTGAAAAGCACCTGCTACCTAATTCAATATTCCGATAAATACATCATCAAAGAAACAGTACCCCTACATGCAAAGTTTAACTGAAAATTTACTTCCTTCTTTTACCAGTGGTAATAGAAACTCTAATATATAATATTTTATAATACATATACTATTTTGACAGTGTGTACATGTATAATGTATGTAAGTTCACATAATATTATGTTATTACTTTCAATCTTAATATACATACCATAGAAGAGAAACAACGAAATAATACACATTTGTCATCCACAAGTATTAAAACTCAACAATTCCTCTCCAATGAAATGTTCTAAACGTTAAATGCCATTGAGCATCGTCATCCAATCAATAATTTCATGTATTATTAATTAAATTGTAAGGTAATCAACATCCCAGTGTTGCATTACTTCATCAACATTTGATAAAGGACCCGATTTTCAGTCATTACTTACTAACGTTTCCAAGTATACAATATTTTATCATGTTCCTTGTAGACAAACCTCACTAATGCTTTTTAAATCTTCCTTTCCAGCTGTGCCGGGTTCTTTAAGGTGAGTTTCAAATGTCTTCGTTACTTAGTCCGCCCTTTTAACATACATATTTGTCCGCCTTTGAGTCAAAGTTAAAAGGGACGCAACTTTTCTCTCCAGGCAAAGTAACCCGTATAGTTTCCGCCTGCATCCCACAAAGACAATCAATTCCCATCATCCTCCCCTCCCCCACTTGTCACCCCTTTCCGTCACCCCAGCCGTGATGACAGTCATATGAGGGGGGCATTTGTTGACGGGCACATCGCACGGTCCGCAAGCTGAAGTCGTCCCCCAGTGCAGCGTGTTCTTTGACTCCAGCTTCAGTGTTGGCAACCTGTCTATCCGGATCAAGTATTAACCCCCGTGTTTACTAGAACAAAAGTCTTCCGATTAGAAAGTTTAACATTTTCTTACCCAAACCCACCCGTAGCGGCTCGGCACGCTAACATCAAAGGACAAGGTTTACGTCCTCGTAGCTACCGATGTTTCGAACAATATTTAGTTTATACGACAGTCCCCTATAGGGCTGGCACGGGATTTCCTGATATCCCTGGCTCGCAAAATTAAACCAAAAGGTAAAAACTTAACGCAAACCTTGTAAAAAATTTGTCGATAAAGCGTAGAAGTGGAGGGCTTGAATGTCAATAGCACAACTACGGAGGGGCACGTTGGATTGCGGAGTACGGGGGGACACTACATAGCATAGATTGCCAATACTGAGATAAAGTGAGAGCCGCAAAAGTCAGGTTTGCTTATGGCTTTTGATTCTGTTGAAGTTACAGAAACAAACCAACGGCAAAAACTCGCAACATTTCTGAAACAGCTCTCACAGCTCTTCTCAGGAAGATTACGATGATTTGCAAACTCGAGTATTTACCCAAAGCCCCTAAGATCAAAACTTGTCAAAGATTTGTTGATCAAAAGCTTTAGAAGTTGTGACTTTAGCGATTGCTTTGAAATGATTGATTTGACCACACGGCACGAGATCACGGCGTGACCCTGCGAGATCTCACTTCACAGGGCTGAGTTGCGTCATTGCAGAGTGGACAGACTCAAATAAACTTCAAAATTCGGGATCTTGCGGTTTACCCCTTCCGACCTCAGTATCCAAACAAAACATGCATGTTCGAGTCTCGCGCGGAGTCCTACGTCTCGTGGAGAACGTGATTTGCTACATCCGGGTAATGACAAATGAAACGTAGATGTATTTGCTAACCCTTTTCCAACTATTTCATTCACAAATATCAACGTTCCATTTCCTGAGATGGGACAGAAAAACATACATTACTGAGTATGTTATTCACTGATGTTAGATTACTATTACGGTGCGTATGTTCTTGACGTTAAGACATTGATAATAGTTTGCATTCACTTTCGACATGATCCATGTTGTTTATAAGCCCTTTATGCGAAAAGGTACTCTGATTAGTTCGCAAATTATTTAAAATGATTAAATGCAAGATTACTAAGTAAATTTAAACATACGAAAACCACCAAGGGCTTTTTGAAGGATTCGCTATCGTAGATCTGTTACTAGGAAAGTGACATCCTCGGCTGTCCAGGGTTTCGGTTCTCCATCCCATTATGGTAAATACCCTGGTCGCAGTGAATACTGTACGTATTCTGCTGACACGGTGCTATAGATAGCCATCCAATGAAAACTACTGTGCTGAGCAAAAGAAACTACGTGCTCAGTTATATTTAAATGGGATTTATTTGGGTGGTGACGTCACTTCCGAAGACTATCATTGCGAATGGGCCACAGGTATTTGTCATGACCGAGGATGAACATATACAGAGAAAAGATCTAACAAAATGGAAAACAAATGCCGAATTATCCTGTTAGTAAATATTAACAATGATACACAGAGCAAACTTATACGTTAAGTGCTTTATCAGCAAATGGGCAATTGTGTGGGTATTAATCGCTCGTAACACGAGTGATGTCTTTTAAGACTTGGGGCGGTGGGGCAGCCTAGTGGTTAAAGCGTTCGCTCGTCACGCCGAAGACCCAGGTTCGATTATCCACATGGGTACGATGTGTGAAGCCCATTTCTGGTATTCCCGCCATGATATTGCTGGAATATTGCTAAAAGCGGCGTAAACCCATACTCACTCACTCACTCTTTTAAGACTTTAGCGGGACAGCTGGTTGGTGTACTAAATTGTATACAATAAGTTGTACTGTGTGAACGCATCTCTACTATATTAAACTATAATAGCGCATCAAGATTATAACATGGTGCATCCAAATTGAGGGCACACATTGTACCCTTGTAGTATTCGAACACAGGATTGGTAATTACGTGCGATCGAACCAGTGTGCGAAATAGCCACTGGCCCTCTAGCCCGTAGCTAGTAAAAATCCAGTCGGGCCAGTAAATTCCCACAGTCACTGGCCCGACTGGCTAGTGAATTTTCATGGGGTCATTTTGTAAATATATCACTCCGACATGTTAAGTTGTAATACACTTTTTATTCATGCTAGATTATGGCCTAAAAAATGTTCATCATATTAGCAGCTTAATGCTGAAACCCGTGTCATTCCCACAATATCTTGTTCTCATCAACCGGTATTTTTGTAATCTTTTGCTTAGTATCTACTTTCTAATTTCAGGCTAGTTAAATATTTTGTTGGCTAGTAACTTGCAGGTATAGCTAGCCCGACTGGCTAGCATAATTTGGGAACTATTTCGCTTACCATCAGGCTAACATTTACCACATTAACACTTACAGATGCCCTTAGTCAGAGGGACGTGTTAATGTAGTTCGCCTATGTTTTATATCGAAGCGTGATGACTTGTGTCCGTCTCACAGCGGTTGATCAATACCTTGACTGGCATTATCTACCAGTTACGCCGGCGTCATAGTTTCCACTGATAACATGTACATATCTCCATAGAAACGGCTACTCAAAGTAGGCAGAAACGTATACACCGTATACAAGCTGTGCTTTTGATCTCGTGTGGATATCGTAATTTCACGACTGGTTTAGATAATTGAAAAAAAATATTTTTTGAAAAACAAATTAGAGAAAATAAATATTTAAAGACGAAAACGCTTACATTAGCCAAGTGTATCTATTTTTTCATGATTATTTTTGTAAAAACAATTGTGTTCAATTATTATTTTCTGAAATGATTGTAAACAAGTCGAGCAAGTTGACGTGGACATGTATATTTTGTGATGACGGTTATGACGGGACAGAAAAATTATTAACATATGACATAATGAGATATGTATCAGAAGTTTAGTCCAAGTGAATTCGTTTTCACCAACCCATGCTTTTCGTAAGACGCGAGGATCGGGTGGCCTGGCTCGCTAATCTAGTTGAAATATGTCATCATGCCACAGTGGCGTAGATCGACGAGCATGATGACTGATTGACTGGTGAAGGCTCGATTTATTACAGTCATCAAAAGCTGGTATATTGCTAAGTTCGGCGATAAATAACAAACATATCAGAACGTGCGACAAGTGCCTGAGTAACGTGGGCTCCCGATATATTCGACATTCTTAGTCTTAATACTGTGCAACCTTCAGCAAAAAATATCATACATTTTTATGGACGAAGTTCTTGATTTTGAATACCACGTACTTTTGATCAATGATCAAAAGCGATTTTTTCAATATAACACCAGTGTGTGAGCATGGTTTTATACCTCTTTCAGCACTATTTTGGCAACATCACAAAAGGGAACGTCAAAATTGGCCTTCAAAGATTGTACCCATGTGGGGAATCGAACCAGGGACTTTGGCGTGACCTGCAAACGTGTAACCTTTAGACTTGCCCTCCGCCCCTCTCATTATATAGATATTTTGTCTTCAGCTCAACTTTATCATATATGTCGAGCAAATCCCGTCGTCTTATTCCTTTTCAGTCAGGTAAAATAAATTAAGATCAGGATTTATCCTTTCGTTTGATTATATTGTAGTGAATAAGCGAGTCTGGTTTGACGTCGCTTTTAGCATTGTTCCTGAAATGTCATGGCTGGGACACGTAAAAACTAGCGTCACACGTTGTGACCATGTTAATGAAATTCCAATATTGAATGTTATATACTAAAAAATTCCAAAACCGAATGTATTGTGTTATAACCCAGAAAAAAGGAACTGTGGATATTATATAAGGTCGCTCTGACATCGTAATATCCAAACTTTAAAATACGGTTATATCGAAGTCAAAACGACATATAGGTTTATTACGTTTCGTTATTACCGTAGTTCGTTATACACATTGTATCTCAGATCGATGCTCATGCTGTTGATCACTGGATTGTCTGGTCCAGACTCGATTATTTACAGACCGCCGCCATATAGCTGGAATATTGCTGAGTGCGGCGTAAAACTAAACTAACTCACTCACTCACTCACTCACATTACATCTAAAACACACAGAAAGTGTTCGGGATAAAAAGCACAACTCGTTATATCCGCCAGTTCGATACAAGCGTTTTTGTTATAAACGTTGTTTACTGCATATTTGGCAATACACAAGCATATCTTAGCTCGGCTGGCAAACACCCAGGTTCGATTCTCAATTTGGTGTGTGATACCCATTCTTAGTGTCATTCGTTGTAATGGCTGGCATAAGGTTAGAGGTGGCACAAGACCGTAAATTCATGTCGTATGAGGGGCAGTGGGGTGGCCTAATGGTAAAAGCGTCCGTTCGTGACGCATAAGACCCGAGTTCGTTTCCCACATGGGTACAATGTGAAGCCCATTTCTGTATCCCCCGCCATGATATTGCTGGAATATTGCTAAAAGCGGCACAAAACTAAACTCACTCACGTCTTTCGTGTAAAACTCTGTATCAAAACACGTTTACCAATCGTATGTTTTTCCAAACTGACAAAGTGAATTTGTGTTTCTCCAGCGTTCAATCCGTCGGAACCGCCAATACATTTGCAAATCGAGAGGACAGGGGAATTGTCCCGTGGATAAAACTCACCGCAATCAGTGTCGGGCGTGTCGTCTTAAGAAGTGCATTGAGGCTGGCATGAACAAAGACGGTAAGTAAACTTTGTGGCTTTGTCTTTTCCACAAGCTGTCACTTAAACACGAATAATGTGTTTTATTTCTTCAGAAAACTATCATTGGTTTTTACTGAGAGCGAGCATGTTGCAGATGAGTATGATGGTGGCTTGGAAAGGAGGGGGCGTGGTTTGTTTACTTTCTCTAGTGGAGTTCCCTCCCTATAAAGACCACTGATGAATGTGCCCCTCTTTTCTTCTTGCATATGACTGGGGGCTTCTACTTTCAAATGATGCTTTTTGCATTCTATGACCTTTTATATGACATCAATCGTGGTTTTGTTCTGAAGTTTGTTTGATTTTCAGCTTATAATAACCCCTTTTTGCCTTTGAAAATATTTCAATAAATAGTCATTGTCTGGTTTGGACTCTGTATTTTTCGGCATTGAAGCAATCAATTTTCGTAATTGTGGTACGTTGACGCGTTCCGTCTTTTCATATCTCCCAACAGTCGTAGTTCACACAGACAAATAGTTCAAATCGCTAGGAACAATCCAGCTTGTCGGTGACTGTTTGGTTGTCTTAGTGTAGCATAAATAATATGATTGACCGAAATAATAACTTTAAACTAAATAAATTGACCCCATTCACATTGTATCGAAAGGAGCCATTAGTGGTTCCCCTTCGACCAATCCGTACGGTTATAATGTTCGGATTGACCGAGAATGACAAAAACGAAAAACAGCAACTAAATCAATACCTATTGACAATGGGGAATCATTTCTTTCCTTACAATTGTCACGTTTGTGATGATTTCTAATTATGGAAACATAACAATTGTCATGCTTGACAAATTCCGTTTTAACCTTACATATAATTATAATAGGCTAGCAAGTACAGTACCACTAGGGCATTTATAACTATGAAAATAATCGGTGATATTTCAGTTTCAAACATCTGCAACAGCTTGCAAACCTTCAGGGAGTCAATATATATTACCAACAATTCCTCACTTCCAGTTCCGTTACTGAACAATGCGCATGCACAGCGGCGTCAGCTTAAGGTTTGGCTTTACAGAAAGTCATTAATTTGCACGCACACGGATTTTCTTCACCATTTCCCTTTGTATTTTAAGCCAGTCACCTCTGGTCGACAACATATGAATATATTATATTAAAAATCATTCAATCTTTTGAAAAGTATCCACAATTTTAATGTTTTTTTCTGGGGACAGCGACAGTGCGTTGTGTAATACGTGCGACCAAGGGTTGATGAAAATAGCACTTTTTCCGAAAGTGAATTAGAAAAATGTGAAAATCAACCTTCTATCGAATTAATTTGTTGGGTTACTTTTAATCTGTTTATGTAGCATTTCTTGTTACCTGAAATGAAATCTATATACTCATATATATATATACCCGTATAAAAAACTGAAATTATCTTCGTTTATCTTGAATGCAAATATACATGTTGCTTTGGCCAAAATGACAAAATTAAACATCCCTAACTATTTGTTTGTTGTAATCGTAATAAATGTATTAAAATAATTTATCAAGATACATGAACGTTTCGAGACTATGCTATGCTTGGTGGGCATGAATAACTGAAAGAAAAGAGAAATCAGAAAAATGTATTTTTATGAAAAGTATTAAACTTACATTAGATTCCCTACAAAGAAATCCTTTTTGATAGAAGAGTACACGCTGACATGTTGATGATATGTTTTAAATCAAAACAATCATCCCAAAAAGGTATCATACGTCAGTTGCAAGGTAGAATATCGTGCACTTAAATTACACATTACATTGGTTCACAGTTCTCCATCGTTATACGTATCACATCCTGTTTTAAAATTTGTTAAAAAATCAAAATCAAACATGTGAGCAATTAAAATCATAAATCAAGAAAATATGTCAGACGATTTAATAATGAAAGCCAAATCATTTTCAGCAATTCAAACACAGACATTAAATCTAAATTAAACGCCAGTTAATATCTGCAGATTAACCATTTTGACACAAAACGAGAGATCCCCACTCGAGACATCCACTCCTATGAGATCGTGTTTCCCATGAGCACGGACGCTGTGGTTTGTCTAGCCGAAAAGCGGGGTGTTCCTCATAATTTAGCGATAATACGGCGATCAGCGAGTAACAACTTTTAATGAGCCACTCGAATTTGATGAGTCGATCGTCAACACTGGGACGCAAGGCGAGAAAACTCGCCATGAGCAGCCGCGGAGAGACACGCCTGTACGTGGACGAATAATTGACTCGGAAAGCACACGTACAAATAGAGTCGAGGCAACCAAACACGGAGGACTGGGCGAAACACTCCGATTGTAACCCGATGAGAAATGCGCTCAACGATTTGATTAGGCAATTACCGGCGTCATTGTATGACGCGGAACCTCTGAATAGCTGGTCACGTACCTAAGCTGTCCTTGTGTAATTATACTCAGGGGGCAGGGGCTCATAATCCGGGGGGTGGGGCCCTCATGGCCAAAAATCTGTCAGTTTTATGAAACATTTGTTTTGATCTTAGTAATATTTGTTACGTTCAACGAGAGTTGGACATAGTTGGACATTGTAATACATTGCATTAACGCGTTTGAAATACCTGGAATGTCCACAGACACTGCTGTCAATTCAGCCTAAGATAACATGGACTGTAGCGTATGTTTAGCGCTTTGTTAATTAAGTTCGCGAACATCTCTCAAAATGTCACCGTTTAAGGTGTTTGGAGCCAGAAACTGTTTCTTTTCAAAAGGACCATTTCTGAAATTCCTGAAACTGATTAAATTCCGCTCATGATGTCGGGGTGTCCATTTCAGTATCCTTCTGGTTATTTCACAAATGACAACGTTTAACTTTACATTCCATCATCTTACGCGAGTGAAAATCTGTCTGTATTTTGTTGGGTATTTTTACGTCTTGGGATCTCCTGCTTATACTGACTGGCACAGTGAATTTCACATCTTTGCACGGGACGACTTATTTTCACCAAGAGCTGCACCGGTCATATTCGCTAATCACAAATATTTTCCAAATCATTTATGTAATTCCACAGAGCGTCATGACAACTTCTGATTGAATTTCGCGATAAGTGACACATTTAATTGTGTCTTTAATGTTTCATGACATCGTTCTTTGGCCTGAAGTTCGTTAAATAAATAATTTATTCACATTATAAAATATTAATAACGCTCTGAAAATGTTTTTAACAACAAATTTAGGGAAGTTGTAAAAATATAAAGAAGGATTTAAAACGTTTAACACCTTTGCGTGGAATTAAACAAATGAGCCATTTTGATGAAATATACCAGCAAGGATACAGATTCATTCTGAGAAAAAACGATTCTGTTATGTTCTGATAAGCTAGCAATACCCGAGAAGAAAATTTTGTCAAGGACATTTTACAGCCTCAACAGAATAGACTCAAACCTTGTGACAGAAAGATAGCAGGGTAGGGTGAGGGTCTTCAGAGAAGGTATTGTGATTGCTTTGTCATCGTGGTTTCGTTCTCTCCCACCTGTCTAAATACACAGCATAAACTCAATAGTCCAGGATATCTCTCAATTTCCAGGTTTGCAAGTAATGTACACATGACGTTCTCAGTTGGTCCTCTTCTTATTCCAAAGCTAAAATAGTCCTATCATCCGGCCAGCCAAACACAGAGGACTTTTGTTCGGTAGTCTATTGAAAAGTTATACTTTGTGAAGGCGGGTATGCGATGGGTTTGACCTCCGCGGATGTGTGTTTAACCAGCTCATGAACACGTAGCGAGGTGGTCTTCTCACACAGAAAGTACCACAGAGGAACTTTTGATTTTCCTGAATACGATATAGGCTATGATTTGTTTAAAGCCCACTCGCGTTAGCACCTCTTTGGGGATTTGTGACCGATGAAAAGGACAAGGTGAGGCACCCTTCAGAAGCCACGAAGGCAAACATGGATTTCAACCACATCTCTGCCAGACAACAAATCCCTGCCTGCGTTCAGGACTCTTCCCACCTGACTCAAAGACTTAGTAAAAGTTTTCTGCTTGACACCTGTAGGAGTCAATATTTTTTTGTCAGGTCGTGAGGTGCTGGCATATTTGCTGATGATCGCAAGTGTCTTTGCCTTCATCCATTTAATTGCCTGTTGTACATCTACATCAGTGACACCGATAGAACCCACAGAAAGTCGAGTGTTCTCGATACACTCAACAAGAAGCCACCCCCGACTTGTCTAACCTTCCCCTCAAGCTCTACCCGTGTGTGATCAAATAAGAAAGTTGTTTTGATAATGACACATTCAGACGCCTTGTGCGGCGAACCCTTCAAAATAATGTCATTCTCAGCATACCATCGTGCTCTTGATAAATATTAAGACGCTAAGGATATATTCAGATTTGCAAAAAGGATTTTCCTGAAGTCTAACGAGTATTTGACTTCTATTCACTTACGCACAGGGGAAGGTGTGTGTCGCATCCCACTAGAACATCCTCATCCTACAGGGTTTGGTACTTAGCCAAGAGAAAGGTGGAACAGAAAGACAACTTGACTATATTGTGTTTATTCAATCCTGCCTTATCCGCTATCCGCGTAAAGGGGCTTCACCCCAACAATACTCGTCGGATTGTTCAAGTGATTTTATAGAATTTGCAATGTCTTCAAAGTGTTCGAATATTTATAAACATTTAACTGATGGTTTCAAGTCATATGGATTACGACACACATGGCATGGTCATTTTCATAACTCATTTGTACATACTGATAAGTCTATAAAATTATGTATTTGCATATTTAGGTTACGAAAGGTGTTTAAATTCGTGTTGTATTCGATACAAACAGTATGACAAGTTAATTATTAACACTAGCTGGCTTAGCCTCTTAACACAAGGATGGAATTATGCCAAGCATGTTAGTAGAACACTACCTACCAGAACACGGGACTGCGTTATTATTTCACCGCGGTGTTGGAAATCATGGATAACCATATCATGAAACAAATCTGATTGGTCGTTCCCTGCCAAATGATTAAATGTTGTAATCTCTGGTTAACTGGATGTCCGAGCAAAATACATTCAAGTCGCTTAAATATCGCGTTGTTGTCTCACACCATTGTTATGCACAGTTAAGAAATATCCAGAATTCACAAATATAAAGTCGCAATTTTACTACGTCCGGGCTTCGGAACAATGTGGAGGTAATGGTGTCAAATCACTACTCACTCACTCTGTAATTCAGCTTCCTTGAAAAATTTCGATTAGCATCACGGAAATTCGTTCTTGTCACGCATTATCCTGTGTTTTCTTTATTTTCAGCTTTTTATTTTTGTTCAATATTGCGCTTTTATCTTGTTTTCATTGCACATTTCATCAGTTTTATGAAGTCTATAAATCCTTTTCTTTCTCCACAGCCGTTCAGCACGAGCGAGGTCCTCGTAACTCTACAATCCGCCGCCAGGTTGCAATGTACTTGAAAGAGACCAATGAGTTGGGGACGGTATTAGCTGCTAATCCGTACCGCTCTCCCTTCCTACCCGCCTACGTTGGCTACGAACACGTCAACGACGGTATCACTGTTTCAGCCGTCGACCCACCCCCCACCGCTACCCCCGGGGTGATTATGCAACCTGTGCCAAAGGTGGGTACAGATGTATCTACCATCAAACCCAATCAGGTGCGACATTGTACATTAACATTTTTTTGTCTGTTAAACATATTTAATAATAATAAGAGTCATTCATGGGTGATAATTGAAATTGATCAGAAGTAATCGTGGCATTATGCAAATTAGTAAGCATTCATTATTAAATAATACCATTGCTATGTAACAGAAAGTGAATATTATAAAGAGATTACATGCAAAGCTGGGTTTTTTTTCGCAGATAGTAATAACATTTTGAGTTAAAAATCAAAATTTAAAAAAAATTCTAAATATTTGATATGCCACTTCCATTATGCATACTGATAATACTTATTTAAGTCCATAAGCCTCTTGGCCGCTGGTGTTAAAGATAGTTCATGTCGTTTTATTTGTTCTGTGTGTACTTATAAAACAAGGGAACGAATAAATAGGGTAACTTTGAATATCATGATAAATCATGGCCCAAGATATTGTTTGTCAATGACCACTCGCATTCTACTACTTGGCATGTTTACTAGACAAGACTCAGTTCAATGAATCCCCAAAATAATCATTTCGGCAAGTTTGTGAAGTATTTCCTTATATTTTTCTGCCAGGATATATGATTTGGTCGTCTTTGTTCCGATCGTACACACAGAATCATCTGAAATGAAAATGTCTTCAAGATAGTGAGACATCACTTGACTTATGCACCCCATATCTATTTCAGTATCCACACGAGATGATGCAGGCTTATTTCTCGAACCCTGAAGCTGTGTGCGAGGCGGCGGCAAGATTGCTATTCATGGGTGTGAAATGGGCCAAATCTGTGCCAGCCTTCCTTAGTCTGCCCTTCAGGGACCAGGTGATTCTCCTGGAGGAGAGCTGGAGGGAACTGTTTGTCCTAGGAGCAGCCCAGTTCCAGATCCCTCTTGATGCAGGACCTCTTCTATCCGCTGCAGGTTAGTCTGGTGGGACTTCATGTAACCGGGACCTGCATAGGGATATCTCTAACTTTCGATACAATATAAAGTTCGTAATAAAGTAGTAAATTTGTCCACAACCTGTTCATCACAACCGACATGTCGTATTCGACTCGATAGAGTCGTTAATGAGTGTATGGTCTAAAATATGGAAACAAGTTCGTCTTATTAAATATGTTCTTCTAATGATCGGCTTTTGGGAATATACTTTTCTTAATAGAATTATTTATATCATTGTCTAAAATATGTAATTAATAATTTGTCTGGAGAAGTCATTGTTTGGTGATGGTTTCGAATGTACCTAAACCAGAACGTCAACGCTATCTATTCACACTAATGTTACGTCTCAGATGTAATTGGGGCTGAACATCATGGGCAAAGACAACTTTAAAACCCAAATATGGACTTTCGGAACTAGTACGGTATATTCACGGAAATATTCAACTCATATTACAGGTTTCACATCCGATCACACTCAGCCAGACAAAGTCGTCAGCCTCATGACTGAAATCCGTGGCCTCCAAGACGTCATCGCCAAGTTCAAGGCCATACAAGTGGATCCAACTGAGTACGCATGTCTGAAAGGGATTGTCTTATTTAAATCAGGTAAGAAACAAAAACTTCAGACAGGAAAAGGCGATGGTACGTGTTAAGGATGCTTCTACATTCATGTACGATCTAACTACCCTTAGGACATAGGCTGTACAATGGTTAAACGTTCATTTTCTTGTCTTGAAGACAGAAAAATGTTTTGGATACACTTAATTTCTTTGGTTTTCATAATCAAACAAATAAGTAATGACAAATGATGCAAATATCACATCGCAGGCAATAAATCGTATCACGTGGTGTTCATGATGCATTTATTCAATACCAGTGGTGATCTTTCATGGGTGACTAAGTGAGTGAGTTTAGTTTTACGCCGCCTGTAGCAATATTCCAGAAATATCATAGCGGGGGACACTAGAAATGGGCTTCATACATTGTACCCATGTGGGGAATCGTACCCGGGTCATTAGCGTGACGAGCAAACGGTTTAACCACTAGGCTACCCCACCGTCCCCTATCTTGCATGAACATGGATGTCATTATACACGTATACAAAACAAAATCTTCAACAAAAGTAAAAAAAGTATTTAGTCAAGTTCTTCCACGTACCAATATCGTCACCTTGTCTATGGTCGTTTGAGAAGCCAAGCTTCAAGGCATTCCTATCGCGTAGAAAATATGAGTCGATTTTCGACTTGTGTTGAATTGTCCTTGTAGTAATTTGGCTGTAGTATTGCTAAAACTAACATCTATTTCCTGACATGCTCTCCATATTTTGTAGAATCATTTGTGTCCCTCGTGGGAACATGGCTGTCTATTGCTAAACAGTCAGTCACTGGATATGCCACATCCTCACCCATGTCCTTTTTCATTGCAGTATTTCCAAGCAATAACACTGAGATGAAGACCTTACGAGAGTTCCACACAGTTGCCACACTCCAGGATCAGGCACAGCTCACCCTTAACCATTACATACGAACAGCCTACCCAACACAGCCATTCCGTTTTGGCAAACTGTTACTGCTGCTCCCATCTCTCAGGTCCGTTTCGCCTGTCACCATCGAGGAGGTGTTCTTCAGGAAAACGATAGGACAAATTCCCATAGAACGACTCTTGGTTGACATGTTTAAATCAAGTGACTTCTGACTACATGGTTGTGACTAGTATTAAAGGTGAAGGTAATGAGAACTGTGCTGGCTGAACCATGTATCCAGACGGGAAGGTCAAGGTCGTGGCCTCGTGAACGCCCATGCTTCAGAAAATGCAGGAAGCAAGACCACGTACCTGGGTCAAGGTCAATGTCAAGGACATGTCCGCACTCCCAAAGGCGATCAACCGGCACAACATGTTGGGTGTTACCCATGCACCGACAAAAAGGTTGATGCGCAGACGAAACTGCATACAGGGGAGATAACTCATATGCCACCAACATGCGACATGACCTGCTTAGGCCGATGCTGTCCCAACAGTGCTGATCCAAGCAAACTTGGCACATCCGGGCGATTGCAAGGTATCTACATACCTACATACATTTGCTGTGGATCCGAGCATAGCGTTGAATATGCAATACCTTAGCTGGGTGCCGTATTCTATCATCTGTGATTATTGTTGCAATAGACTTTATTAATTCTGATGCAACGTTGAAGCTACCTCTGTATTCTAATTAGTGTTGTGACGTTATAGTTGTTTCATACAGAGAATTGTTAACCTTGAAAGATCTGATACACTTTGTAGATAGATGTGAAGCAGGAATCTCCTATTTCAAATATTTCCTTTTTATAATATGTGTTGGATCTGATGTATTTTATCCTCAGCCCTCGAGGCTCTAAAGATATAGTCCATGCACCAGCACACTCAACAGCCGGTACTTCTTTCGTCTCTAGCATGCTATTCTTAACTTATAGTTCAATATAGTGTTACGAGTTCGTGTACACACATTTAACAGGCTTGTCACCCTTGTCGTTTGAATTTAGCGAACATTACCTCTCGGGTAATCGGTAGTTGCTCACTGTCGGATTGTGTTGCGCGAGTTTGTAAGGATTATCTTTCTTCGGCGGCGATCTCGACACCTCTGACACAATATCGCCAGGGAAAAGCTGTCGACACCTTTCACCGTTCGGTTTGGGAAGCGTCCGGTTTCATTGTCCCCTGAGTGGTTGTATGCTTTCCTGGCATTGGGCGGGTACCTGACCCCCTTGTGCGTGCCGGGAAAGGGGCCACGCTGGACTTGTAACACCGCTCTGAAACTCAATCTTTATCCTGAAACCAGAGACCCCCGTGACCATGACAAAAAGTCAATTTTTCCTTTGATATCCTTTACCGACGGAACGAAGATCGTGTAGGAATCTTAATACATACGGTGACTTGTGTAATGCAGACTGTTCTAGAACAATTTGAACTCAAATCACAAAGAAAAGATTTCCCTCAAAGCTAATACCAGGCCCTTATCGGGGGAATACAAATGAAAGGCATATATCGCATAGCCTGTAATGCCCGTTTGCTTGCTCACCTGGTGGGACACATTCTAGTGTGCAATTCTTACGTTTACCCTAACACCAGAGACATTGACGACTGAACTGTTAACTCCTAATGCTCTGATTGTTCTCAAACACATGTTGACTGAGGCCAAGTGCATCATTTAGTGCTAGAAATAAACAAACATTGGTCCATTTCCTCAGAACCTTTAAAAACACTTACAAATGAAAAATGATAAAGGGATCAACCATTTTTTAATATTGTGGGGCTGGGATTTCTTTTTGAGGGAGTTTGTTTTGTCTGTCACTGTTTCCATACATACACATTTTTCTCTGAAAGAAACCGCGAAACTTTGTTTTTTAAAACTCGTCTTTATATTTAAACACCGAGGATGGCCAGTGAACGATTGAAAACTTTATGTAAAGCCTGAGATATATGTTTTACTGCAGGATGAGGAAAGTAGTATTTTAAAAGAAATCTCACCCCACAGCCCAACTCCAACGAATAATATCAATTGGTCAAACCCAACCTATTTTTCTATGAACTTTTATTCAACATCTTTATCTGTCCTACAGTCTATATCGAATCTTTGAAGTAGTTGTTGATTTGTTGGTGCAAAAAGTAAAAGTATATTAGTGCTGAGTTTTTATTTTTATATTTGATTTGTGCTTCCATATCTTCAGTGTTTATCCTGTACATTTATCACTGTAAAACGGATTGTTATGTTTATTTATTAGCTTTATCAACACCATTACGAGGAATGCCATGTCCATTTGATAAATAAAATGTTATTTCAAACCCTTTCTATATATTTCCTTTATGAATCTCGGTTTGTATCATATCCAGTCTATAAAGTAATTTATTCATTAGGTAAGTCCTATTTTGGAAACCCCTATTTTGTCTGTGGACTTCCTATGCAATATGCAACAGAACGCTTGAGTAAATGTAACTTATCGATAAATTTACAATTCTTGAAATGCGTTTCATTACACAAGACGAACGTAATGACAAGATTTATCGTTGTAAGATACTTCAACTTGAAGTAGTTTATCAACTTGAGATTATATTTTACTGCTTCTATATAATCTTAAATGCAAAACGTTCAATTTAATTTTGTTAAACTTTATTAACGTTGAGAGCAACTTCCATAAAATAACTGAATAAAACAATGACGGACAGCCTCGTTCTGCCTTATAGCAATGTTTTAGTGACAGGCCCTCTGCTCTATCTCTTCTCTTTCACAATGTATGGAAATGTTTACTCCACTTCCTATTGAGTGCAATACATTTCTTCACGCACACGTCAGTGTCTCTGACTCAGCACCATTACAGATGTTTCATTTTGATGTATGATGTAATAAATGATGGATATACCTTATTATTTGTTTTTCTTTGTGGCTGGAGCTGAATGTTCAACGGGATGGGACGATGGGTGGCCTATTGATGGAGGTGTTCGCTCGTAACGACGTAGAAACGGTTTGATTCCTGACGTGGGTACGCGTGTGATGCCTATTCTTGCTCTTTATTTCATACTATTGGATTACTGTAAAACTGACTGACTGACTGAGTGAGTATGGTTTTACGCCGCTTTTAGCAATATTCCAGCATTATCACGTCGGGGGACACCAGAAATGGGCTTCACAAATTGTACCCATGTGGGGAATCGAACCCGGGCTTTCGGCGTGACGAGCGAACGCTTAACCACTGGGCTACCCCACAGCCCCGATTACTGTCAAACATGGCCCCTTTCGACAGACGTATGATAGAAAACTTATAACATACGTAGTATGATGGATTTACGACGTAAAATGAGATATGTACTTCAAACGTAACCTGAGTGACACGTCCCTGAGGTAGTATGAGAGACTTAAACCTAGAATGAGTGACTTATGCCAGGCGTAGCATGAGAGACTTACAGTAGACTTAGAATGAGTGACATACGCCGGACGTAGCATGAGAGACCTACACGTAGTGTAGCATAGGGTTTTGGTTTTTCACAAACTCAGTGTGAGCCACTGACAACAGTCGTAGCATGACATACGTACACAAGACGTAGCATGAGTTAATCGTGTGTCTGACATAGTATGAGAGACATAAAACACACATAGTTTGAGTGAGTTACAACTAGCGTAGCATGAGGTACTTCTAATATACGTAGCATGAGCAACCAACAACAGGAGTAGCATGAGATTGTTACGTAAGGCGTAGCCTGAGTGTTCATGCCTTACGTAGCATGATCGACCTGCAACAGCCGTAGCTTGAGTGAGTTACAACTAACGTTGCGTGGGGGACTTATAACATACGTAGCATGAGCGACCTACAACAGCAGTAGCTTGAGTGAGTTACAACTAACGTTGCATGGGGGACTTATAACATACGTAGCATGAGCGACCTACAACAGCCGTAGCTTGAGTGAGTTACAACTAACGTTGCATGGGGGACTTATAACATACGTAGCATGAGCAACCTACAACAACCGTAGCTTGAGGGGCGGTGGGGTAGCCTAGTGGTTAAAGCGTTCGCTCGTCACGCCGATGACCCGGGTTCGATTCCCCACATGGGTACAATGTGTGAAGCCCATTTCCGGTGTCCCCCGCCGTGATTTTGCTGGAATAATCCTAAAAGCGGCGTAAAACCATACTCACTCACTACAACTAACGTTGCATGGGGGACTTATAACATACGTAGCATGAGCGACCTACAACAGACGTAGCATGAGATTTTTTCGCAAGACGTAGCATGAGTGTTCGTGCCTTACGTAGCATGAGCGACCTACAACAGCCGTAGCTTGAGTGAGTTACAACTAACGTTGCATGGGGGACTTATAACATACGTAGCATTAGCGACCTACAACAGACGTAGCATGAGATTGTTTCGCAAGACGTAGCATGAGTGTTCGTGCCTTACGTAGCATGATGGACCTACAACAGACGTAGCTTGAGTGACTTAAAGAGAACCTGGAATTAGTGCTTTCAACTTCCAACTAGCGCAGTATAATGGACTAAAACAGTCATAGTAGGATGACGTCCAACAAGCTCAGTATGATTGCTTCATGTCTGTCATAGCATGAAACACCTTTAACATCTCTACCAAGAAAGGTTTACGACAACCATAGCATGAGGAAGTTTTAGCATGAGAGTTACGATACTCGTAACGGGTGAAACATCTCGTTAAGGCAAAATGTTAAAGAACTGCCATAGCAACAGCATGTGCGACAAGTAACTTTTTTGGAAGACTCCAATAGTTTATGTCTCATCAGAGATTACAGCTTGATGGAAGTGAAATTGAGTCTTGGGATGGTTTTAAGGGTTATTAAAGGTTATTCAAGGGTGAATATATTAAACACATTTAATTTCAATACCAACTTTACATGTTCAACACGAGTATTCTCATTGTCTCGCCTGTCACCTGTTGTGTCGCTATGCTGAAAGGAAATAACCTTCTACATGAGACAGATGTGTGCTCACATTATACTGGGCACTGTTTCACAAAGCGACCATAGCGCATTTAGTGTCGTAACTCCCAGGCTGACATAGAGTTAATTATAAGACTTAGAGCTAAGATGGCTTTGTGAAACAGAGCCCGGCATTGCAAATACACACCAGCATGTATTGACATATCAAATGAAACAGTGCAAGTAGGGATGTGGCGTCTATGGGACACATGTATCACTGCATACCTTTATACACGTTTTCCTGGTGATATAAGATGGGGAACAAAACGTGGAGTTGATGGGCAAGCCATCTACCATACATTTTGGTTTACCCAGCAGCATATTGAAGGTAAAATCTCCAACACACTCGCATTTTATTCGGTATCCCCTTAAAACAATTCATACCCATTTCACATTTTTCATATGATTTAATATCACCTTGAAGCAAATTGTAACTACATTTTATGCACTTTGCTTTTACCCAATAGAATGCTGAAGTAAAGAGCTCAAAATATACCTGTGCTTAATCGAATACAACCTGGAGAGAATATATACTCACGGTAAACTTGAGTTCATTGCGCACCTAGCCCAAGCAACACACGTATTGTTCATACATTGGTCATTTCTGGTGTCCCCCGCCGTAATGTTGCTGGAATATTGCTACAAGCGGCGTAAAACCAAACTCACTCAGTCAGCCATACGTTTGTAGATTAAATAATTATATAAATAATTAAATATGAGAGGTTTATATTTGTATTTTATTGGCTTAATTTCTTTTGTAAAACTCTCAAAACTGAATTAGAACAGCAAACTTCATTTATAAGTAACACAGTAATTTTGTGGTAGGCTCGGTTTACATTATTCAGCACTGTAGTACATACACTTATCACTATTCTTTACACATGACCTTCTTTCGAAGCTATGTTTCTTGACCCGCCGTGAACTCAATGTTTTCGCGTCTGATTTCTCACCTTTAATCCTGGATTAACTTGTGTGTATAACCTCTTGCAAGTCATGGCAATGCCAGGTAATTCGTCTCCTTATGAAACCGCTGTCGCTTATGATTATAATGCCGTGTTTAGTTTCATTCTGACTCACTGATGCTGTCAGGTTCGAACAAAAATGTTTGTACAAAAGTAATATTCAGCGTCCAGGTATATTTGAAATCAAATATTGACACACGCTTAACCTGTCACTCGTGGTATGTATTGATGTATTGTTCAGTTTATGTTACACGTCAGTAGAATGACCTGCTTTCAGAATTCGTACCGTTGGTAAAATTAAGGAGGCTTTGGTTTCTGGGGTCTGTGCTACAGAAATTCATTCAATAATAAAAATGAAACCCATAAAATGAGCTGCGATTATCAAAATTTAAATGATCTTGAAAATAACTTCTTCATATCAGAATTTGTGAATATCATAATTTTCGTCAGAGACGATTATAATTGGTAGTGGAGGGATTATATCAGGGGCGCGGGTAGGGGTTGCCGGGAGGTGGTGTTGCGGCCGTGCGTGTGTGAATGCGTGCGTGTGTGTGTGCGTGTGTGTGTATGTGTATGTCAGTGTATGTAGGTATACGTGTACGGATTGTAAGACCCGTGAAGATCTTGGTCAGAATTGATCTTTAGCAACCCATGCTTGTCGTAAGAGACGACCGACGGGAACGGGTCTAGGATGATGTATGTCATCGTGTTCCAATTGCGTAGATGATGTCAACCATTGAATTTTCTGGCACCGACTTGATTATCTACAGACCGCCGTCATAAAGCTGACAAAAACGTGTGTGGAAGGATGGAAGGATTAAGTATTATTGTGTAATCAATGTTCGAGCCATTATCCAGATTCACAAAAATGCATCTCGCTCATGTTGACTACAGCTCTTAACCCTATTCAGCCGCTCAGCCAGCTTGATACAGATACCAAAATTACAGATAGATTGCATACATATTGCGATTGCATAGAATCTTTATATGGATGAACCGGGGGGTAATATCCCTCCAACTTCTATTTCAGTTTTGTAGTACGTGGACCAAGTGCTAAAACATTATGCTTGTACAGTTATCCTTACATATAAAAAGCAAACAAAGAATCTGAAATTATTAATATTTTATTTGCTGTATGAATATTTACCGCTTAAATGATTTTCTATGGGGCGATGTTTCAGAGTGTATAATGTGCTGTGTACTTCTGACCGGATTCAAATGGCTATACCTCATTCAAAAAACTATATTACGTACAATGTCACTTTTTTGCTTCCTCTTTTCCATAATGTCTATACGGGGATGTCAGATCGTCCTCTTCATATTTACACAGATGAGGGTTTCTTCTTCAATATAAACCCATTTTAAATTACAATTTCACGTTAGCGTTCGGCAAACATATGTTGTTTGAAATTAGTTAAGCCGCTTCTGTAATTTTAATACTGTTCCATCGCTTGTACAACATTTATCCTGTCCTTCATTGTACAATTCACGATAAAGTCAAAGGTGCTTCTTCAGTAGGCGTGTCCTTCATATTCAGTATAGAAAGGATGCATTTGAATCTACCAAATGAAACATATAGCCCACGGCCAGGAAATTCTCAACGACAGCAGATTAATTCTGCATTGTGGAGATACTACTAAGAAAGAAAGATTGAAAAGCCACCGAGGCAAAATCTTCATGACAAGCAATATAGGACATCTAGTCATGATTCTGTGTACACCTGGCCTCACACACTGGTCCAATGCTTTAACACTTTTGTCAGTGGATGATTCCACTTTACGTTTCGGGGACACTGTTTGCCCTTTGCATTCTTTGGTAATAATAATTTCGACGTGGCCTAAAAAGTCAGCGTTTGACAGTGTCTTCAACTTCTATCCATATGCCAATAAGGACTCGGCTTTCAATTAGTCCGGGTCTGACACTCCTTCCCTCAGGGAGAAATTTACTGAAGGGGATTCCGAC